TGTTATTTTATTATTATTTTATTATCATGAGGTCTAGAAAGTATAAGTGAGTTGGATGAGTTCCATTAATAACTTAGCAGAAGTGCCGAAGTCAGGATGGTGTTTCTGTGCATTCTTTCTTTCTTCTCTCCATTGTGTTCTACTGTGCTCCTTCTCTTTTTTTCTAACTGTTGTATGTATTTTAATGCATTAGCATTAAAAATATTTTTTTATCATACAAAACTCATATTCAGAAAACAGCAAGTCAGTCATTTTGGCAAAAATAATGTAATACAAAGACGAAGATGCCTATAATATGGTTGAGAGGGCTGTAGCTACTTTCAGGCTTGCAAATACAATGAAGTCATAAAATGCAGGAAATCAACCTTGTAGAAACTTTAGAGAGATTATGCCTCAGTATTTTCAGTTCATTCGTGGGATGGCTGAGGCCAGAATAGGTTGAATGCCTTTACCATAGGAGGTAATGGTTTGTGGCAGTGCTGATGGTAAAGCTAACTATTTCTTCTCTTTAATACCATTCTATTATAGTCTCCTCCCACCACATGCCTTACCATCATTGATATGCTGGCTAATTTATGTTATATTTCAGCTCAGAATTCAGATCAAAAGCATTGGGAAATGTGTGTTCAGACTGAGGATGAATTATTGCTTGGTTCATCTCTTTTTAAACTGTAAATAAAGTCATCAATAGCACTGTAATGCTTCGTGGTTTAAGGCAAATCATGTTACCAGGACAGAATTGGTCATTTGAAATGAGAAATTTGTGTTTTCACCACATGTGTTTCCCATGTGTCCATGAGAAACCATAGATCTACTGAAAGGATTGATAGCAAAGGATTCAGGACTTTAAAAAAAATTATAGTATTCTGTTTAACAATGAGAAGAACTCATTGTGGGTTCCAGAAAACTGTATATGGGATATATAATATTTATTTATGTATGGGCTATTTTCAACAAATTCGTTTTTCTGTCATACCAGATTTTTAAATAATCTATAGAAGTCCTGCTTTCTCTATCATCATTGAATCCTGGAATCATGTATTTCCTAAATTACTAGTTTTGCCACTTACCTGCCTTTTCCTCTTCTTTTCATTAAAACAGCTAACAAAAATTGTATTGAGCTAAGTGCCAGTGGCTCACGCCTGTAATCCTAGATGTTCAGGAGGCTGAGATCTGATGATAATGGTTCAAAGACATCTCAGTCAGGAAAGTCTGTGAGACTCCTATCTCCAGTTAACCACCAGAAAACCCGAAGTGGAGCTGTGGCTCAAATGATAGAATACTAACCTTTAGTGGAAAAAGCTCAGGGACAAGTCCAGGTCCTGAGTTCAAGACTTAGGACTGGGGCTGGGAAGGTGGCTCAGTCGTAGAGCGCTTGCCTTGCATGCCTGAGGCCCTGGGTTCGATTCCTCAGCACCACATAAGCAAAAAACAAAACAAAACCGGAAGTGGCTCTGTGGCTCTAGTGGTAGAGTGCTAGCCTTGAGCTGAAGAGCTGAAGGACAGTGCCCAGGCCCAGAGTTCAGGCCCCATGACCCCCCATCACCCCCCCCTAAAAAAAAGACTTAGGACTGGCATACACAGGAAAAAAAGTATGGACTTTTGTTGTGTTAATGACCTATTTTTTATTTACAACCTGTGGATTTTTAAAAAATGAAGCACTCTTGTCCTCAAAATACTACTGGTCTGAGGAACTGGAGGTACTGCTTAGTAATGGAGTGTCCTCCTCACAAACTCACATCCCTGTAAATTAATAAACGGACTTTGTGTCTGATTGAAGGACAGGAGCTGTCTTTGTTTAGGAAAGTTAATAAAAAATTATTCCAAATAATAACAAGTAGCGAGCTCACAACTTTTCAGAGACAAATACCTATTTTATCCTAGATTTGAAAGATTTAATCAGGGTATATTATAATGTGCATAAAATTTTGTTAAATCCCCTGGGCTAGTGTTAGATCCTGATAGGTGCTTTGAATAAATTTGTGGTAACCTACTTGACAGTTTTATGAAATAAATCATCTTTAATGAAAATTTAAAACATAAAATGAGTAATTTCATTTAAATGATATATATGATATAAACCAATTACAAAAAGATATATCTGAAGTATGTGTGTATTTATTCTAAAATGCCAGAAATATTTTATGCAGTAAAGAGACAGGATGTGACAAGAATCTTGCATTCCTGCATCTTTGTTCTTTTTGTTCTTAATTATGGGATCATATCCTTAAATTATCATATCCTTAAATGTAATTCTAATGGAAAATATAACTGAAGCCAGAGGCTACAAGCCTTCCAGACAATTTAATGAAGACTTGAACCAATGGAGACTGTAGATGTTTGGAGAAGACAGACCCTGTTAGCCATTACATCTTTTTAGTCAAAGAAAAGGTTAGTGAATATTTATGTGTCAGTTGTCAAAATATTTAAGTTAAATTATAGTTTCATTTAAAAAATTTGTTTATCATGGATTTGAATTTTCTTTAATCTGGTATACAAGTGAATGATCTTATCAATAATATTGAAACATTTACTTTAAAAATCCCAATCACAGTTGCTTGTGAAACTATAAAGAGGCATAATAGAAGACTCTGGAATGGTTGTTGTAGAATACCTGTCCTTTCATTGGATATTCCTTTATTAGATGCTGATTTTGTCCATCACACCTATAATATCAATCATATAATCAATAATATTTTTCCTGTAATTTTCAGTGAGTGGTTCAAGTTGGTTGATTAATTTGCCAGGGTGGACTTCCAAAGGCTCACTCAAAATAAAAGTAATGATTCAAATACATTAATTTCTGGAACACATCACAATTTTGTCACAATGTAGATCTTTACTCAAGTTCAGATTCTGAAACTGCTGCTAATGTAAGGGTAACTGGAAAAAATTAAAAAGGCATCCATTTCCAAGATTTAAAAACCAGCACACAAAACATATTAACAAGAGCAACCCCCAACTCTCATTCCTTTTTACCCTCAGTAGATTTTCACATGAATTTTATAGAACATTATTATCTAGTGTAAACTGTTAGCTCATACCTTCCTGTGAGTAGAACAGATGACTGTTTTCTCTCTTCCAGGCAGTCAAACAGACTCTGACTTCCTTAGGAGGACTTGAGATCTGCTCCTAGCATTCCTTTTCTTTCATTCTACATGCCATTATACTCACCGCAGAATTTTTTCAATTGTTATTGTTGAGTTTATATAGAGGGGTTACAGTTCCATGAATCAGGTCATGAGTAGTGAGCTCGCAGAATTTTTTTGTATATGTTTTTTTTATTATAAAAATACTGTTTAGTGGAGTTACAGTTACATGAGTAAGGTAATGAGTACATTTCCTATTGAGAGTTGTTACCTTCTCCTTTGTTTTTCCCCTACCATACCATCCCTCCCTCCTCTCCAGCTCTTTCCCCCTACAAGTTGTAAAATTTGTTTTCAACATAGTGTCTTGTACATCTCATTGTTACAGTGGGTCAACCTATATCCTTACCTCCCCAAATTAGAAAAATGTATATACAAGATTCAGGGCAGAGCTCACAGAATTTTTATGCTGTGAACATCCCTAATACAAAATGCTCCCAAATCTGAAATTTTTTGAGTGTCTTCATGATTCTACAAGTAGAGCATTTTATACCTGACCTCACAATACTAGTCCCAGTAAAAATTAAGGTGCACTAAAAATACTATGTAAACTTGCCTTCAGATTATTGGTATAAACTGTATATTAATCATAGAGGAATCTGAATTTCATCCTTAAGATACCTCAATATGCACATGTAAACATTCCCAAATAAAAAAAAAACACTTCTAGTCCCAAGCACTTTGGAAAAGTGATCTCCAAATGTTATATTACCACTTTATATCAGACATATTGGTGGATATATTTTATAAGGCTTGCTCTTATTATTATATTTTAAAGGTATTAGTTGTTAGACACCAGATTGTATTAATTTTTTTATCCTTTGGAGTTCTGAGCACTGAGTAAGAAAAAGGCTTTAGAAGTCCCAGCTGTAAGTAATTTACTTGTTCAGATTTACTATGGAAAATAGAAATTAACACAATCTCCTTCTGAATTTTTTATGGCAATCAAAATTATTGAAAGTTCTTTCCAGTGCTTGGCATATAATCATAGCAGGCAGAGGCAGCTTTGATTAAAAAAAAATCAGTAGTAATGGTAGTAATCATACAAACAGTACTAGCAGAGGCAAATAGCAATAGATCCTTCATAGGGGTTTTATTTTTAGTGTTATAAAAATATATTTTTCTCACTTTAGACTTTAGAAATCTTAAAAATCTAATTTCTGAGATCCATCATTCTACTCTCTTAAAATATGGCGAATATAAAGTACAGAGAGTTTAAGAAAATTTTCTAAGTCCACATAGGTGGTACGTGAGAAAACAAGAATCTAGCTTCATGCAGCTCAATTTGCATGGAGGCCATCTGTCACATTCTAGGTATCCAATAAATATTTGTTAAGTGGTTTATCTTTATATGTTTTTGTCAAATTATCTGCTTTATTTAATTTTTTCTGCCTATGAATATGTTTGCCATCTTATGTAAGTTTAGTTGTGGAGAAGACAAGGTCAATGCTAGATGCACAGTTGACAGCTAAAAAGCATTCTTACTTTATTGTTGGGAAATCAGTAATATGCAATTCAAAATGAAGAATGTGTTGGTAAACACAAGAGTTGCATGTGTAAGTCTGTAAGAATCTCTGTACTTACCATGTGTTTCTGCTATTTGTCTTATTTGCACAAGAAAATCAGTCCCTTTACTTTTCCATCACATCTCCTCTCAAAATACTGGTAGATATTAATGACATGAACTAGAAGAGTAAAATATGTGAGTTAGTGCAAAAATATTATTTGCCTTTCTGATGGAATCCTTTGATCCCCTCCCTTTTTTTGTATCAACTGAGCCCCTTCCCCCTTTCTTAAAGAAAGGCTGAATAGGAGAGGTTGAAGTTTGGTATCTATTGTTTGGTCTTATTACAGTCATTAACCTCAGCCAAGGTGCCTTTCAGGAAGAAAGGATGATGGATAGGCTGTGGTCTCATGATCACATTCACTGTCATGGAGAACAAAAGTCAGGAAAGCGGGAGGTAGCCAAAGACAGAGTGCAGTGGGATACAGGTGCATCTTTTCCAGAGAAGAACAAGATGAATGTTCCCATTGTCACCGCTCCCTGCATTTCCTTAGTCATTAGTGTGACAGGTCTGTAATTGATGACATGACATGGGACCTGTTGTGAAGCTTCTTTCCCTTCCTTTGAAGCTAGTTCTGTGTCCTTTAAACAGTGTCTGGTTATCTAATGTGTCAGTACATCTGCTTTCATATCTCAATCTAAGCTATCTCAGTAATGACAGAAAATCACAGCACTTGTAAAAAGGGAAGATGATATTAAAGTTTCATAGCTGTGTTAACCTCAATTCTCAGCAGTGGTTTCTTATGTAATAATAGGCAAGGTCAAGAATAAATTTATGAGTATGAGAAAATAGCATAATTTGAGCTCTCAATCTGTGGCAGAAGAATGCTTTGTAGTCTAATGCTCATCCTCTTTACTTACGTGCTCTCTTTAGTTGCGCTGTTTAGATCATATTTCAAAGTTCTTTTTCAAGAAGTAAATTACGTAGATCATTTGAGTGGATTATTTAAATTATAGAATAAATTAAGTGAATGTTGTGATCATGACTAACCACTTTTTGCAATAACTAGTGTATGTCTGGGACAAGCAGAAGGTCAAAAGCTATGTACATATGACCAGATAAGATGATCTTAAGCAAAATGAACCCCAAGATAGGGGCACAAGTGATTTTTTTCTTTCTTGCTATTGCTGCTAATATATTTAAAATGTACCATGTGATTTTTTTGTTTCTTTGTATATTCCTCCCCCTTGGTATAACCCCTGTTTTCACTGTATTTGATGTCGGTACACTGCATCTTGTATATACACTTCTCTAATTTGGGGAGGGGAAGGGAAAAAACAAAATGCTTAAATAGGGATACAAGTTGACCTATTGGTATCAATGAGATGTACATGACACTATGTTGAAAAATGAACTTTACAATTTAAGCTGGGGGTAGGGGGTGGGGAGTGGAAGTGGGAGGGAAGGGATGGTAGAGGAAAAACAAAGAAGGAGGTAACAATGCTTGATAGCAAATGTACTCATTACCTTGCTCATGTAACTGTAACCCCTCTGTACAGTATTTTTACAATAAAAATGTCTTAAAAACAATAGTTTCAAAATTATTGAATCTTTCATGAATCACTGGAATGCATTTGATTTTAATTATACATTTAGGTTTATTTTATAATTACTTATTAATTAATCAGTATTATACATCTGGGAATTTTTAAAGGAGAATCACTATATGTAACAGAGGTACAACTTATGTATAATTAAATGCATATTCAAAATTTGAATATTAATCCTGAGGACTGGGCTAATCATTCAAAAATGTTACTATCAATTTAATGAACTTTGTTTTTCTTGAATAAACTTTTAAAAATGTTTTATCGATATACTTTTTTCCATTATGGTTGTTAACAATATAGCCATGACAAATAATGTACTTTTCAGAGTAATTATCCGTAATGAGAAGCTCTCCACGTTGGGGGAAAAATCCAATTTGTTATATATTAAATTTTGGTATTGCACATGTACAGTTACTTTAGTATAACTTTTAATATGTATAGCTTCATTAACATTATAATGACTTCATGTTGAAACTTGATGCAATGTTTCTAAAGAAAAAGTTTCAATAAAAACACAATAAGACATGAGTGTTGATGGAAATCAAAATTACAGTTTACAGTGTATTTCTGATTTCCTTATTCTCTCAACTGTATTCTCATATTTGATTCCAAAAGATTGTGTCTTCCTTGACATTCTTTAAGTCTTTAGCCCACTTATTAATCTGGCAGTTGTTTCTTTGGGGATTTGTTGTTGGGGGGTTTAATTTTTTGAGTTCCAGGTATATTTTAGATATGAGACCCTTGTCCGTTGTGTGGCTAGTGAAGATCTTCTTCCAATCTGTGGGCTTTCTCTTGATCTTGCTAGCTATGGCCTTTGCCATGCAGAAGCTCTTCAGCTTCATGCAATCCCATTTGTCCAACCTTCTTTGAGTTGCTGTGTTTCTGGGTCTCTATTAAGAAAATTTCGGCCTGTGCCAAGGAGACCTAGAGTTTCTGCTGTCCTTCCTGTAATGTTTTCAGGGTGTCTCCTTTGACTTTGAGGTCTTTGATCATTTGGAGTTGTGATCATTAAATGTGTGTTTGTTTTCCCACTAAGATCTGCTCCAAAATACCATACAATAATACAATCTCTAATTTGCTCATCAATGTTGCTCAAATTCTCAGCTATTCTTTCAAATAAGCTATTTTGGTGTTATCTTTAATATCCTGCTCTTGGTTTTTCTCCTCCTCCTCCTCCTCTTTTGTTGGTGCACAACATTGGATTTTGAACTCTGGTTCTCTCATTTGCTAGGCTGATGTTCTTCCTGCTTCCACACTGATTTTTTCTGGTTATTTTTGAGAGAGGACCTCCTTTCTTGGCCCACCTATGTTAGGCTTCCTGGGTGGGTAGGATAACTGCATGTGCCATGCATCCCACTCTTCATTGAGAAGGGGTCTCAGGGACTTACCAGCCTGGACTGGCCCTGAATTGAAGTTCTCCCAAGATCAGCCTCCCAAGGAGTGAGGAAGCTGAGCTATCAACACTCAGCAATCATTTTTATTTTCTTTCACAGTTTTTAATTCGCTCGAAAAGTGGATTTGATCTTTACAGCTGTTCTTGAAATCATGCTGTTTTTTCTTTTCTCTCAATGGGTTAGAAGACTTACCGTCTCTAACCTGGATTATCACAGCCAGTTTCTAATCCTGTTACCAAACCCCCTGACAGTCACAGTTACCTTCCTACTCCATAGGTCTGATCACTCCATTCTTCCACTGATTCATTTTCCTGGCTCTCCAGTTTCAATATGCTAAAAGTTTTTTTTTTCTGGCCTACATAATGTCTGCTCAGCACACCATGATGATGTTTCCCAGTCTGCTTATTGTCTACCTTTCTGCCTACATTTTCCAACCATTTCCTGAGGGTGGTTGCTGCATAGCTAGAGGTCTGTTTCTTCTCTTTTACTTTGGTTTGATTACTATCTTGATGCTTTACACAGTTTTTTTTTTGTTGTTTGTTTTTGTTTTTTGGGCTGTAACACATCTTCTCATTCTTAAATCCATTTCCCAAATGCTCATTATGCCTTGTTCCTTTATATGTGTGTGTGTATATAAATGTATATATTTATTTACATGAATTGTCTCATACCATTTAAAGTCTTTTGCTGCTGAGGCTTTGACCCCACTTATTTTTGAGCTGTATTTATATCAAAACATGAAGATTTTGGTTTTCAGTTTTAATTACTGGTAATATTCTGTTGAATAAATAAATCACTGCTTTCTTTTCTTCTACTTCAGGACAAAAAGGTTGTTATTCCTTTTTTCTTTTTTGTATAAAGAATGAATCGGTGAGGAATATTGCCATTGTATCTTTGAACATATGTGCACAATTCATTAAGTAATTAATGAATTAGTTTCAAATGGCTAATCTGGGGACCTGTGGAGAGTAATGAGAGGGTTCTTAAATGTAGACACCTGCCATCATTTTCCAAAGTTTCTTCACTTGAAATGTCCTTGTATGAAGTATGATAGTGTCATCACACATATGATATGCTTGGTTTGGCATGTAGTTGTATAATGCAAAAATAAGAAATGGAAAGTTTGAAAACATCTCTCATAGAACTTTTCTTCTGAGCCTGATAAAAATGTGATTATTATTGCATTTAATATGGTTCTCATTAACATGCCTTACCTGCAACTATAAATGTAGAATTTGAAAAGCCAAATTGTATTGTATTATTTCCTTTATTCTAAATTATAGAAATAAATTATTCAATTTTTCTTTGAAACTTACTGTATATTTGTCTGAAAAGTGCACTAAATAATACTGTCTCTAATGCCACAGAATACAAAAAGATAAGCAATTGCATGTATACTTAAAATATTGTCGAATTTAATCCTTTTTCCTTATATATTTGTAATAATTATAAACAATTTTAATAATTGAAGAACTTCCTATAAAGTATAATACCACTGCCCATTATAATGGCCCTTTCACTTCCTGTGAGAATGATCTAGGAAATGTGTTCAAGTATTTATTTCTCATTTCCACTGTGGATAACTCTGTTGCAGTAGTTTGGGGGTATTGATTATAAAATTTATCACCCTATACTTATAACCACTACGGTTGTGCTCTAGAAAGTGACTGCTTGAGAAACCTAATTTGAGAGCATTGTTGGGATATTATAATGGTGGTGATGGTGATGCTTGGGAGTTCTGATGGTGGTGATGGTAGAGAGACATTGGTAGTAGCTGAGTGATAGTGATGTGACAGTAGAGATGTTTTAGCTGATGTTTTAGCTTTGGAACTCGTGATTTTGACAATGGTGAGGGAATAGAGCTTGTATGGTTCAGCTCTTTGTAATCAAACAATCCTGAATTTGAATCGTAGGTGTAGTACGATATAATAGATGTGAGGGTAAACTTCAGGATTATCATCTATAAAAGGGACATTATTTTACCTAATTGACAATGCCTACCCTATTTAGTACATAGCACATGTAGTTTGTTTATATTCCTAAAATATAGTTAATGCCTCTTGATTTTTATTAAATGCCAATTTGAATGTGGATTCTTTTTTTGGTGGGGGGGGGTCCGGTCATGGGGCCTGAACTCTGGGCCTGTGCGCTGTCCCTCAGCTCTTCAGGTCAAGGCTAGCGCTCTACCACTTGAGCCACAGCACCACTTCTGGCTTTTTTCTTTTTGCTTATGTGGTGCTGAGGAATCGAACCCAGGGCCTCAGGCATGCAAGGCAAGCGCTCTACCACTGAGCCACCTTCCCAGCCCTCTGAATGTGGATTCTTAATGGAAGTGTGAAACTCTACTCTTATCTTAAATGAAAATCAAGAAATATTTGAGATCTTTATTTTCTTATTGCTTACTTATACTTTAACTTCAGAAAATTTAAACTATCTATTGACTTTCCTGAATGTGAACCAGTAAAAGAGGTCAGTGTTACCATAACATGCTGCTTGAGACTAAACCTTACCATCTCCTGTCAGTCTAGGAATATCCTACTTTCTTATAGGAAAAATGCTAGAAAGATGAAAT